AATATGCTTGGATTTTTGTTGTCCACATTCAACTCAACAACTCAGAAGATAGGAAACTGGTATTTCATGCTGTTCCTTGCCCAAGTGCGTCTTTGACAATCGTCTGTTTAGGACTAGGTCTCTCTTATGGGTACCCAAAAGGATATGTAAATTTTTTGATGATAAAATGTTTTCGGAAACCAGACAGGATAAATAGTTTGAACGCCATATAGTATGGATATTTGTGCACTGAGGGATTTTGAAAATCACTGAGGACTTGACTTGGGTATTGCTACTCAGTAGGGTACCGAGAGGGTGTTTGATACACGAACACTTGCGAGACAATTATACCTTCCATTGACCTCTGGATAAATGGTTCAAAGCTCATCCCAAACCATTTAGGACCCTTCAGCAGCTAGCATTTCTCATAATAAAAGTCCTGTTGTTGAAGTGGACTGCACCGGACAGCAACCACTTTGGCATTATTGTTATTTAAATGCATTAATTTTGGCACCTCATCCAGGCACATAGATATTGCAGCTTTCTCGCAACAAGTTGAACGCTGAGGGAGCGCATGAACAACGGGGAGGATGCAACAATTCACTGCAGAAGAATGATGCAATGAAGAAGACCTGCTGAGATCGTTAGCAACAGAACAACAGGAGATGCAGCTTCAGCTACAGCAACAATGGGAGTGATGCCAGCTATGAACACTGTGAGGCGGTATTCGCTAAAAACGATAATTTATCAAAATTGAAGTGGAAATTCCTTCGTATTCACTCTGTGCAAGAGGCCCAGGCATGTAGAAGTAAGCCGCTTGGTAGAATGGGTCAACAAAAGTTATCTAGTAGCAAGATCGTCAATGGCTCTTTTTTTAGGAAGCTACTTAAAAACAAGCTGATAGCGATTTTAGCTCTCTAACAGAGGTTAAAAAATTTGCGAGAAATTATTCTTTGATAAAAACGAAGCATTGAAAAAGGAAACCTATGGCCAGCTTGCGACTTCGGTTTGCTTTTTTTCGTTTTTGACTGCTGAAGCAAATTTGGTTTGTAATCTGAGTCGTATTCCGATCCAGATTCACATGTTTCCGTTGTAGATCCTTGTAAATCGGTTGTAGATGTGCACCTATCCGATCGAACAGAATCGGTTGATTGTTGACGAATGAATCTTCTCGTGGACGAAGAACTTGACACACCATATGCCTCCGGATAACCTGCAGGCCGGTCTGCCCACGATGGTCCTGGCTGCGCATCCTGCCAAAAAATATCTGAGGATCAAATTTTAGCTGCAAACACTATCTTTCACTTACAAACCCTTGAGTGCTGATAAGGGTCGAAATTTGTTCCCTTTACTACGGCATTTCCAGAGCTATATCAGCTAACTGCTTTTGCACAATGGCGAAAACTGCCAAGAGGCTCATGCAGCCCAGGAAAAGGCATTATTGGGATTTAAAAGTTCAAGCAAGAAAAACTGATAAAGTTTTACTGATATACGCTTCATAATTGTATCTCATTAACTTTAAGACACAAATGTATCAGTCTGAGTACGAAACCGGCAGGGATAATTCACGACAGATGGGCTGACCCTAGATGCTTTTTCATCAGCTTTTTATTGCACTATCTCCAGCCTCTTTTTGGAAAGTGATGGCGTCTATG